ATTGACTTGGCTTTGCCCTGAAATGCACTAACATTCAGAGATATGAGATAAAATGATTCCCTGGGAAAGTGTCTGAGTTGAAAGCTCCTATTCTTTCTGCACGTCATGACCAAATGCCCTTCCTATGTTCATTACCCTCCATGTCATTTTATGGCTCTATAGCTTCTTTGTGGAAGAAGACTCCACTTCATTGACCTTTAAGACACTAGTGTGTAACATATAAGGGGGTCAGGATGGATGTCATTTATAGTTGACTTTCCACTCTGGAGGCATCAGTCTCAAGCTGATGAGGTGAAAACCTAGAGCTGGGGGAGCACCTTCCCATCTAATAGGGTAGCTGCAGAGGACAGACTGACAGACAGCAACAGTGGGGAGTATGTGTCCCAGGCCCTGCGTCTGGTCAACACCTGTCAAAAACTGCCCCAGAGGTGGTCCTCAGCATACACAGACGTTCAATCTGCTGACAAGGCCACTGGGGGCTACTCAGTGCAGGGGTTTGTGAGTCCAGGGTGCAGGGCCTCTTCCTGCCTTTTTGTACTGAGAGGAGGCGGCCCTGCAGCGCTGTGGCCACCTTCACTGCTGGCACAGAAGTACACAGATGTCTGTGAGGGGGTCGCCGATTTCAGTGTGAGGACAAAGTTCTCTTTATTTTGTCTAAGGACACTGTACCCATCGGCACCATCTCCTTTGGCGGTGATCCCAGCACCAACTGAGTAATAGATCAGCGTCAGCTCATGTCCCATGTCTTGGCGATACCAGTACATAGCGCCGTGGTTATTAGTCTGGTGACAATTCAGTGACACATTCTTTTCTGTCCCCACAACCGTGTATCTTGGGCTCTGGGTGATTTGGGCATCCAGGTTTCCTGTAAGGAAGCCACAGACCTGATGTTGTCATCCTAAGATGAAGGCTTGGGCTGAGGTCTTGGGAATCCAGGGCAGGAAGCCCCCCTGTACTCACCTGCCCACAGGAGACAAAGAGCCACCCAGAAGAAGAGCCTGCTGACCATTTCAGGTCCAGGGCAGAATCTCATGTCTTCCTGTTCTGTTTGGGGGAATAGATTCAGTGATGTCACTGTCCTTGACAAATGCTTGAGCTGTAGAGCTAACCTGCCACACCCCTTCCCCACTGGAACAAATCAGTGATCCTCTCAGTTACAGGAACCACCTGATGTCCAGGAAGTTTTTAAAGCCTCAAGGTCAGGGTCATTGGAATCTGAAGACTTGTTTTATGTTGTCTCACAATTCACTGACTGATGGGAGCCCTGCCATCTGTGCTCAGGTCTCTTCATGCTCATGGGAAAGAGTTCTCCCTTGGTTTCATCTGAAGCCACAGAAGACTGTTTCACCTATGACCCTGCAACTGTGCTTTTTTTTTGCAAAAAGAGGAGGCTGGTTACAATATGGGTGAGCTATTCAGCCAGAGCTTCACACTTCTTACATCTCCAGAAAGGTCTTGCACCCACCAAACAGGAGAATATTGATTGAATCATAAATGTGCTACAGTGCCAAGCTTGCAGCTAGTCAATATCAGTACATGTTGTGATTTCTTATACAGGTTATACCTCAGTCTGAGGTGACCCCATTTCTGTGACTACATATCTTGATGTCATCTCAATGGCCAACTATAATGAAACAACAGTGACAAAGGACATGAAGTCAGAAATCAGAGGTGAGGAGGAGGTAAATGGTCATCACATGGAAAGGCTTGCAGCTTGATGCCTGGTAAACCCAGGAAGGGCTATTACATCTTATCCAGGACTTAACTGTTCCCAGGGCACCAAGAGCCACACAGCAAAGGAGCCTACATTCTAGGCTGGGTCAATGCGAAAAAGAGGAGTTTTTCAGCTAGGACTCACATTGTTTGGGTTAGAGTGCATGGAATCCCAGAGATCTGTGGACTGTTCTCACAAGAAGGTATCATCTTCCCATATTGTTAGTCTTCTCAATAATACCCTAATTTCTTTAGGGAGACAAACATTTACCAGGAATAGTTCCTTTGCAATTCTCATTTAAATTAGTCAATTAGAGTCACAAATTTTATGTTGATTTAAAAATGTATGTCATCAGAAATTTTTTGTCTTGTCCTTGTGTTTTTGCACTGGTTTTTCCCAAGCTCCTGGATAGTGCCTGTACATGGTAAGTAGTGAAGGCTGGATGGGCCATGCAGGCAATTAAGAATAATTTCAGGCCTTCTCATTCTCACAGGACCTTTCCAAGACTTCTGAATCTTTTCTTCTTTCCTTTTTAGTAGAGCACCCTAAAATTACATAAGCATATATCCCCACCAAGCCCAAACTACTCTTCACCTGATTCAAGTAGTGTTTGTTGAGTGAAAGAAATGAAAGGTTATCAGAGTCCAGGCAGACTCCACTTCTATAAAGATAACCAAGTCTGGTCAGTTATAAAGAGGTTCAGATCTTGAAGGGAGCAGAGACCCTTGTGAATCTGTTGAGAATTAAAAATAAGCTACAGTAAACTTAGGAAAATCATTTATATCTGTTATTATAAGACTTTTTGAATGATAGGAGGCAGAATGAATTAAACAAAAATAGCCGTGTCTTCCAAAGGGGTGGGTCCTTTGATGGTCACTTCCTTCCATCACTGTCACCATATAGGCTGCCCCTGGAGGCACAGTGCGAGACACAGACATAGATACAAGTAGTTTATTTGGGAAGTCATCTCAGGAAGCAGGAAAAAGAGAGCAGGGAGGGAGGAACCAGGAAGGAAAAAGCCTAGATAAGGTGCAATATTACAGTTGTGCTGGGACATCGGGAGATGGATTTATGGATTTTGTTGGAATCTGCAGAGAAGCACACAGACCACCTCCTGGGCTGGCCTCCTGGATGCAGAGGCTGAGCTTTCATCGCTGGCTCCTTTCCCTCCAGGAGCATTAGCACTTCTGCAGCTCTGGCTGCCCTGGGGTACAGGCCATGTGGGCTCCCATGATAGAGAGGAGGCCAGAGCAGAAAGCTGAGGGACACCCAGCCTGCAGGTGATGGGGTGCTGTCAGAACCAGGTAAATGCACACAATCTCGCATGTAATTCTCCACTGCAGCTGAGGCTGATACCAGAGGTGGGCCGGGGATGGATGAGGACACTAGAGGCTCCACGATGATGGCCTCTCTTCACACAAAACCGTCCCTTCCATCAGATCTTCTGTGTGATCACCAGTCACTCAGAAGCCACAACTTTCTGGAAGCACCACACCTTCTTGTACATCAGACTTAACATCAACAGGAAGTGCTGTCCTGGGTCATCTTTTCATTTTCCCTTAAGAGCACCTCTCAGTAGTTAATTTCACCCAATAAATTATAAGATAGCAATATTTGCATTTCAAAGAAGTTTCTTTCTCAGCCATAGATGAGTCAGGCAAAAGTAAGCATGCCTGCCTTTCATCCCAGAACTGCACATAGCAAATCATTGTGCTACACTAGCGGTTTGTCAGAGTTTATAGAGAACAAAGATGACTTGAGCTTATATTTTTGTTAAGCAGTTTTTCATATTTGCTTGTTTTAAATCACTACAAAACACCCATTATTGGCCCCAGTTTACAAATGCAAAACTTGGACAAATATTTTCTGAGTCACCATCCCAAGGCAGGTCAGAATATGAACAGACAGGTCCAGGAAGCTGGATCTCTTTCCTCTCCAGCAGGTTCCCTCTCAAGTGAAAGCTGTTATGCAGATGATTTGTGTTACAGCCTTCATTTCTAAAAGGGACCTTTGGGTCCATGATCCCGTTTTGAAGATGCCTCTCTCTACCACATGCAGAAGGGTGGGGTGATTTAAAGCTTGGGTGGAAGTCAGTATCGTCCATGTCTGTGTCCCAATTCTGATATTTGTTAGCTGTACCTCCTTTAGCCAAGTATCCAAACTCTCTAACAATCAGTCTTTTCACTTGTAATGTGGGTGATTTATGCTACCTCACGGAAAATGTGCAATAAATAAAATGATTGAATTAAATACACAAAATGTGTAGAATTAAAGTCATCTGCATTCACCAATCAACTCATACCCTAATCTGTAAATGTCTGTATTATTCATTTAATAGCTATGATGCTCAGCTGTTTTCTGCAGTCCTGACCTGGGCAGAAGAAGCAATTTCAGATGTTCTAATAGAAAGTGGGGCAAGCTGAGACCCTCACTCCTCCACACTTTCCAGGTTTAGAAAAACTGATTCACTGTAGTAACTCTTAGAATCCTGCCTGAAATTCCTAGAGGGCTTCTGTTTTCTTGGTGAATCTGGTTAGTCTGGAAATCCCCTAGTCCAGTGGTAGGCAAACTGCGGCTCGCAAGCCACATGCTGCTCTTTGGCTCATTGAGTGTGGCCACGAAGTTTCAATCGCACTGTACATGCGTGCCCGCACGTGGCATTTTGTGAAAGAGCCACACTCAAGGGGCCGCAGTTTGCCGACCACTGCCCTAGTCCCTTAGGTCTTCTATTAGGGGACATCACGTCCTCCCTCTATATAAACTAGGACAGGATAGAAGCACGTTCTGTGACGTGAAGCTGTTTCTTAGAAGTTGGCAGGCAATCAGCTGTGTAACCCCAAATGAGGTGTGACACCCCCCCCCATCCCAGCTCAGATGCTCTTGAAATGGGAGAGCCAGAGCTTTGTTATATCTTATGGACCAGGCCCAGGCAGCACCATGGAATTCTGGGCAATGTTGACTTTGGAGGCCTGGAGATGTAGGGTTAACATATGTGAAATATTTGAGATGTCCAAGGACTAAAACTTCCTGCCTATAAAATGGTATAATGAGCGCTTCCTCCTCTGTAAAGTGGAACACAATGTCGACCGTGAATTAGCACACACAACATGGACCCCACTCTATCAAAGCAGGAGTTCCTGCCATGTGCTAGGAATTGCAAGGTGCTGGCAGAGCTGGGAGGACACTCAGGAAAGCTCAGGCTGAGCTCAGCAGGGCAGGGAGAGTCTTAAGAAAGAACTAGAAGCCCTGGAACTCACTAAGACGCCCTCCCTCTCCTGTGACATCCTCAGCTGGGGCAGGGAGGTTTGAATACAGAAAGCCATTGACCCTGCAGGGCTGTGTCTAAGCTGCTGGCACAGAGATACACAGCTGAGTCTCCCAGCTGCAAGGTGCTCATGGCCAGCTCAGAGCTGTAGTTATTGAACTGTTTTCCTGAGAACCGATCTGGGATGTTTCCTTTCTGTTCCTCCTGCTTTTCATAAAAACTAATGAGGAACTCGGGGCTCTGGCTCAAAGCCTGCTGGTACCAATACACCGTATTATGTCCGGTGATGGGATGACACTTCAGAACAGCCTCCCCCCCTTGGACTTTGATTATGTGTCTTGGGAACTGGGTGACTCCAGCAGCTACGGAACCTGTGGAGGAAGGAAACAGAAGCTGTAGACCAGCACAGGAAGGAGATGGACAGGCCAACAATAATCAAGAACTTTGGGTTCAAGGGATGTCCCATCTGAAGTTAGGACTCACCTGCCCCCAGAAGGCAGAGGGCCACACAGCAGAGGAGCCAATTGCCACTGGAAGATTCAGGCAGGACAAGACTGGCCATCTCCCAGCTCTGGGCTCTGGTGTTTGGGGTGAGAGAGCAGCGGCTTTGAGTATTACTTTGCTCTGGGTGGAGGGCTTGTCTGTGATGTCACTGTTCTGATGTCGTTGTCCTTGTAGGCTCCCACACACAACCTGTACTTCCTGGACAGGCTCAGTTGGTCTAGAGTCTAGACACTCTGTCCATCTTCCTATGAGCAAGTGCTGCTGGATGTGCCCAGCTGGGCCAGGCAGGGTTTGTGGCAGATGACCATCCTCACAGCATCTCTGTTTCCTAGGAGCAGGTACACCTGGCTTGAATTATCCAAGCTTCAGGCTGAAGGAAGTCCCATCACACTCTCCACCAAACATATGCTCCAAAAGAGAGCTTAATTCCAGGCAAGGCCAAGCTCATGGCTTCCTGCTGTGACAACACACCTGCATATCAGTTAATGTGAGAAGATATGATCAGCAAACCTCTGATTCATCAGATAGTCTCCCTGATATAGGGACCAAGCCAAGACTCTCTCCCTTAACCCTCTGTCTCCCACAGGACCCCATCAGCAGCTTATCCTGTGGATCTACAGCGCCCTCAAGTGGCCATTTGTGTAGTAGCAGTGTTGATACTGCCCAGGTTGGCTGGATTCTGTCTGAATTAGGAGTCAGGACCAGCTAGGACACTGCAAGCACTTGCTGATGTGATGTTTACCTGTCTCAGCTCAGCCTTAGCAGGTGGTAGTGAGGGAGGCATGGTGCATTTTTTCTAAGAAGGAAATATAAATTCTAAATCTCATCAATGAGTGTTCTGGGAAAGAGGACACCATGCATGCAGCTGCCTTGGGAAGGGGTGGAGGGACCTTGGCTGAAGCGTTCTCTTTAACCAAAGATAATTCCTGGGGAGGGCTGACCTTAGGGTTTTACTAGTCAAAAAAAGAATTTGAGCAGCTGGAAATATACCCTCTATGAGAGGGAACTATCTACCTATAGATCTTGGGTGGTTTTTTGTTTTGTTTTGTTTTGTTTTGTTTTCCACTCTTTTGAACTCTTCTGTTCTTTTTAAAAAATTGAATTACTTACCTTTTAAGTTATTGATTTGTAGGAATTATTTATATTTTGGATACATGCTCTTTCTTAATATCTTTTGATGAACAGAATTTTAAAATTTTGACAAAGAAAAATGTGCTTTTTAAAGATTAGAATATTTTTTGTCCTATCCTAGACATCTTTTTGCCTACTCCAAGGTCATGAAGAGAATTTGTTCTGCTTTCTCTCAGAAGCTTTATAGATAATTGAGAAAGTTGACCCATCTTATATTCATTTTTGTTTATGGAACTATCAGCAAACTTTTTCTGGAAAGGGTCAGATGGTAAAGATTTCAGTTTTCTGTCCCAGCTCCCCACCTCTGCCCCTGCAGTGCCAAAGAGCCAGAGACACCACACAAGTGAGTGAGCATGGCTGTGCTCCAATAAACTTGGTGTATAGATACTGAAATCTGAATTTCATATAATTTTCCTCTGTCACAAACATTGTTGATTAGTTTCTGGGCCTTATAAGAACAAGTAGAGGCCAGATTTTGCCCACTCCTGGTTTATGGAATGAGATAAGGATTGAGATTATTTTTCATTATGCACACAGTTTTTCCAGCACCATTGTTGAAATGATTATTTTCCCCCCTTTTGCAGTACTTTTAGTGTTTGATCTAGAGATCACAAATGCATCTTTACCTTACCTGCAAAAATGTCTATTAACCATAGATTTTTTTTCATAAATGCCCTTAATTAGGGGAAGGATGTTTCCAATTGCTTTTTATTTACTAAGAGTTTGTATCCGGAACAAATGTTGGATTGTATAAAGTATTTTTTTTGAGCATCTATAGAGATGATCTTATGATTTTTCTTTTTTTAGTATTTGAGAGGTTAAACTGCATTTCATATTTTTGAATGTTAATCTGTACATTTCTGAGATAAACCTATCTTGGTGATGATGTATTATCCTCTATAGATGTTGTTCTATTTGACTTGGAATTCTAAAAGATTTATTAATCTGTTCTTGAGGGATAGTGGTCTATCGTTTGTTTGTTTTTTGTGATTTTGTGTGTGTGTGTGGTAATATCTTGATCTCATTTGAGTAGCATAGTAGAGCTGGCCTCAGTGTGAGTAGGGAATTATTCCCTATTTTCCAGATTTCCTACTAAGTACAATCAATTTTAACATGATATATTTTCATTTAATTAAAATCCCTTTATAATTTCCCTTTTGAATTCTTCTTTGCCCCATGGGTTATTTAGAAGATTGTTGTTTCATTTACAAATATTTGGAAGTTTTCCAGGACTCTTTCTGTTATTGATATCTAATTCAGTTCCTCTGTGGTGAAAGAACATGCTTTTGAATTATTTTAAATGCATTGGTACTTATTTTATACCCAAAGTCTACAGTATCCTGGCCATGGTCTGTGTGCACTCAATAAGAATGTGTATTCTGCTGCTGTTGGGTGATCTGTTCTATAAATGTTAGTTGGGCCGAGGTGATCAATAATGTTACTGATGTCTCCTGTTTCCTCACTAATTTTATTGGGGGGTGGTGGTGTCAAGTTGTTCAACCAATTACTGACAGGTGTTGAAATGTCTGATTATAATTGTGAATTTGTCTATTTCTCCTTGCTGTTTTTGTTCAGGGTTTTAAACTCTCCTTTTAGATGTATAAATATTTATGATTGCTATGTTTTCTTGATCAATTTGTCCTTTTAGCATTAGAATATGAGATTTTTTATCCCAGATTATATTCTTTGCTCTGAAATTGATTTTGTCTGATGTTATTATTGCTGCTCCAGCTTTCCTGTGATTAGTGTTAGCATGGTATATCTTGTCCATTCTTTTACTTTTACTTTCTGAGTCTTTATGTTCATAGTACATTTCTGGTGGGCAGCATGCAGTTGTTGATTTTTCATTTTTACTCAAAATCACAATCTGTGCTTTTTATTTGGGGCATTGAGACTACTTTGATTTGATACGACTATTGATCTAGTTTATTAGTATCTATCATAAACTTGCTATTTGTTGTATTAGCCCCATCTTTTGTTTGCCCCCTCTTTACTTCTTTTTATGTCCTCTTGGGTATTAATTATTTTAATGATTCCATTATCTCTATTTTTGTTGACTTACTAGTTATAATTCTGTGTTGGATATTTTATTTATTTTTTTAAAATATATTTTATTGATTTTTCACAGAGAGGAAGGGAGAGAGATAGAGAGCTAGAAACATCGATAAGTGAGAAACATCGATCAGCCACCTCCTGCACACTCCCCACTGGGGATGTGCCCGCAACCAAGGTACATGCCCTTGACTGGAATCGAACCTGGGACCCTTGAGTCTGCAGGCTGACGCTCTATCCACTGAGCCAAACCGGTTAGGCCAATGTGTTTGATATTTTAGTGGTGGCTCTAGCATTTGCGATTTACATATTTGCCTTAACACAGTCTACCTTGAAGTGGTATTAAGTGGTATTATACCACCAGACATAGATTAGGAAAACCTCACAATGGCAAGATAATTTATCTGCTCTCTGTCTTTCTCCTGTTGTCATACATTTTACTTTTATGTGCTATAGCGCCCCTCCCCCTCCTTATCTGCAGTTTCGCTTTCCACAGTTTTAGTTTCCAGCCGTCAAGCACCATTCAGAATTATTAAATGGTCAATTCCAGAAATAAACAATTCCCAAGTTCTTACTTGAGCACCATTTTGAATGCCTGATGACATATTGTGCCATCTGGTCTGTCCCATGCAGGACACGAACCATCCCTTTGTCCAGCACAACAATGCTGTGTGCACAGCCCACCGTTAGTCACCTAGTAGCTGTCTCGGTTGGTTATCACATTGACTGTAGTCGCATCACAGTGCTTGTGTACTAGTCACCCTTATTTCACCTAATAGTGGCCCCAAAGCGCAAGGGTAAACAGTGTATACAGGGTTCGGTACTATCAGTGGTTTCAGGCATCCATTGGGGTTCTTAGAAAGTATCCCCCAAAGATAAGGGGGGCAGTGTAACTGTTTTTCAGGTCTTCTTTGAATCACTTTTCTTTAACATTGTCTCAAGTAGGGTGTTTAATAAACCAAGCTAAATTTAAATTTCTATTCAAAATAGATTTGAGAAGACAGCTGATTGTCAAGAAAAACAATAAAACAGTATATAGACATACATTAACATGCATTATTGTGGCTGACAGGTGCCTCCTGGATAATTATTTCAATGTCAATTCATATATATATATATACATACATACATATATGATTTCAGAGAGATAAAGGGAAAGGGAGAGAGAGATGAAAACATCAATGAGAGAGAAACATTGATTGGCTGCCTCCTGCACACTTCCCACTGGGATTCTAGCCCCACAATCCATGTGTGCTGACTGGGAATCGAACCAGCAACCACTCTGTTCATGGGTCGATACTCAACCATTGAGCGCTTGATGACAGTTCTTATTAATGTGTATATTTTAAGGCTGTATATTCTAATGTATATATTTTAAGGCTGGCGGCTGCATGAGGCCTGGACAGTGTGCTCTGCGTTGGCGGCCCACACTAAAGCTTAGTGTCATCTGAGACAGTGATGCTTAGTGCCAGTAGTTTAATGTAATTATGTTAAAACTTTATATTTTACAGGAGACCATACCTGACACTAAGCTCTGGTGCTCAATCTCAATTATGGAATCTTGATCTACATAAAGGAATCCTAGAAAACCAGACAGAACGCTACTGCCCAAGGTGACCTGTTCTGGTATTTTGAAGGTCATTTTTTTTTTACCTCCCACCGTAAGAACAACAATTCAAGTCCCAAAGCATTTATTTCCCCTTATTTCAGGACTCTGGGAACTGTGCGGAGAGGTGAGCACATGAGGGTTTGAGAGCAGGAAGAGGGTGACTCTGCATCGCTGTGGTTAAGCTGCTGGCACAGAGGTACACGGCCGAGTCCCCCTGCTCTGCACGCTGGATCTTCAGAGTAGAGTAGGAACCATCAGGCCTCTCA